GCAAATGAAAACTAGTTAAATAATTTAGTTACTTGAATTTTAAATACTTACTAGGCAAAAATGTCTATAGATTCACTGTTACTCTCTGTAACACCAATACAATTTTAGATTCTATTTTTAAAGTGAGACAACCATTTAGATTTACATTAGTAATAAAATACCTAGATTCAGATTGATCTATTTAGGTAACTCTTCTGTATTCAATTTTTCACAGCAGCAGAGATGGAAAATGTAAGCAGTATCATCAAGGAGACACATAGCTATAGATCAGACTTTTTTCCTCTTTGTCTTCTCTTTTCATCTTATCTCTCTGAGTAAGTCTTCCATTCCAGATTATAAATTACATCTCTTCTTTTAAATGTTATTTCCAGAAATAGACTTCCTCCGCCTCCCTTTCTCCTTTGGATGCTGTTCATTATTTTAATTTAAAGTTAAAGGGATTAAATCAACTATAATACACAAGTATTGCTGAATACTCTCATCGTGCTACAATTTAAGAATCTAGTGATACACTTGAAGTATGAACAAAGCAGCTATTTTCCATTTACTCTATGTACCTATCCTTCTCTGAGTATTAGTGAGGTTTATGTTTTAATTTTTGAAAATAAATTTCTAGGACATATACACTCCCAACTTCATCTTCCCTGAAATCAAAATGTATCCTAGAAATTCAAAAATAACAGAGCCCCTTAAAGTTAGTGGTATTGAGTTAAGAAAATATGTAGATACGGGAGAAAAATAGGGAGCTCCAGTGGCCTAGTGGTAAAGAGCTGTGTTGCAAAACCAAAAGCATGTGGTTTATATTTACCACCAGTTCTGTAGGAGAAAAATGGGTGATGCCTTTGGAAAGTCATTGGAGGGTAAGTTAAAAGTCGTTTCTGAATTGACAACACATAACAGCAAGAAAGGTAAATAGAGTGCTGTGTCAAAATATTACATTTACATAAGACATTAAACACAATGCCTTATGTGGGACAGAGAGGAAAAAGAACAAGGTTAGTTGCGGCAGTAAGAAAGCATCATCCAAATGACTTGAGTTTTCATTTTCACTTATTATAACCCTGAGAAATGGAGGTTGTTTATGTAAGTGAAAGAGAGGATTCAAGAACAAGTGGACAAATAAATTGAATATCTGTTTATTAAAATAGGTGGTGGGAAAGACCATATGGAATGAATGGAGGATGAGTATATTGAGTGTATCACATTTGATGTTATGGAGCAAAATATACACGACTGAGTGATTAAAAAAACCCAACATGATTAGTAAACTTTCACCCATATTTCTGTATAAAAATTTTTTTTGTGGAATCTTATATCCTTTTTTGTTATCTTTATGATTGTTGTTGTTGTTGTTGCATGCTGTTGAGTTGGAACCGACTGGTGGGTTTTCAGAGGCACTTAATCACATGAGTGGAGATTACCCATCCTTCTCCAGCAGAGCAGCTGGGGGATTGCAACTGTGTGCCTCTGGGATTGCAGTGCAGTTTATTGCTACTAGGCCATCAGTACTTGCCTTTATTTTTATAGAGAAGAGGAATTACTTTCTAGGATGGAGACCACATTCCTAAAACAGATAATATAAAGAAGTGCATGGAGGATCTTAAAAGAACAATAATAAATATTATATACAAAAGCTTAAAAAATTAAATTATTAAAATTTTTATAAATCATTTTAGGGGTTAAGTTTATATTCAGTAGTGTTTTGCACTCCAACATTTTCATAGACTGTGGTTGATAAGTAAAGATTACTCTGGAAAAAACAGTGTAAGTATGTTAATTCAGTCTGGGGTATTATTCCAACAAAGAAAATGACAAAATTAATATTCATATTTCTCTTTTTATTATGAATATTGTATCAGTTACTTCAGAGTAGATTATCATTGTCAATGCTTTCAATAAGGGAAACACTTTGGAATGCATTCCACGGGAATTAAAAATCTTCCATTCACTTACTTGAACTCCAAAAGGTTCATTTCTTCGTGATAATTCCCTTGGATCATCTTTAAATTTGAGCTTTGCTGAGAACTGGAAGTCTCTATCTTTCCTAAGAGCTGCATTACCTGATGAGAGTACAAGAGGTAGCTTTTTTGGTGAACAATACCACCAGCACTTATGTTAACTATGCTCAATGCCTAAGGGAGCCAGGAAATGATGGGAAACTATGGTAAGTTAGCATTTGATAATGCTGCTCTTCTGATGAGTATGATTCAATATTTATATATCTATCCCTGTGGAAACAAGAGTAGGAAATGTTCTATTCTGTTGTTTATAATTCTCCTTTTGATAATTGACTGCCTAGTGAGTGAACGAAACATACTATTGGCATAAGTTTGTTTATTAATTTGTTAATTTGATTATTTATTTACCTTCTTTCTCCCCATGCATACTGTAAGCGCTCTAGTTCACCTCTCTATCTTAAGAGTATATTAAGTGATCCATGGTAAACACTCAACAAATATTTATAGACAAAGAACCCTTAAATGTACATTAAACTCTGAGGAAAACACATATGCTTGACCTAAAACTAAGTGTCAAAGATTTCCAGGCCAGATTTAGAAAGAAGCATGAGTGAATCCCAAATAAATTGTTTTAGAGCAGGATCCTTTTAGCGATAGTTATTTTTTTAAAAAACAGATTCCTAAGACACATCTACACTCCCCACTTAACATTCCTGCAGTCAAGATCCTAGTTCTAGAAACTAGGATTGGAGTGCCTTCCACATAGCCAAAAATGTTGAGGAATTTCTGTTAGAAAAAAATATGGAGGCAGAATGACAACACTGAAACTAGAAATCAGTGAGAAAAAGTGTAATGAAACAAAAATAAAAACAAAACAATAATTAAAAGCCATTTAAGTTTAGTGATGTAGTGACCAAGTAAATGTATCTCTCAGATCATGTGCTGTAGGAACAAGGGCCTTGACTCCAGTGCTCGAAATGTATCATCATCTCTTGCCCATGTTTTTCTTTCCATAGGCTGCTCCCAGACATGATCTGAGCAGTAGTCCTCTGATAGATTGAGGACTTGATGTATGTTTTAAGATTGCCCTGTAATCTCAGATCTTTCTTTTCTCTCTCTTTTTTAAAAAAATAACACAAACATTAGTTCTATATTGTAGCTTGAAGGCTCTTTCCATTTCTTTCAGTTCTCCCTCAATTTTCCCCATCACAGGATCCAGTTCTGTTTTGCATTTGTGTCTCAAAAGACTGAGATTAGCATAGGTGTCAAAATTAAATTAACATTGTAATTACAATTTACTTAGAAAATAAATGAAAATGAGAATATTATATATCAAAAGAACAGTCACATTTATAATCAAAAGTATATTTAAAGCATTTAATGTTTTCATAATTATACAGTAAAGAAGGAAGCTATGCAAACAAATCACTCATTTCACAAAGTTAAAGAGTATTGAAATTGTTGGGGTTAAGTGCTTTGGAATGAAATGAAACTCATTGTGAACCAAAGTACATCTTTGCTCAATCTTGTGCCATCATGACCTTGTCGACTGTGCTTAAACCCACTGTTGCACTCACTGCGCCAATCCATGTCATTGAGGGTCTGCCTCTCCCCTGCTGACTTTCTACATTCCCAAGCATGTACTTTTCCAAGGTCTGGCCCTACCTTTTAATTTCTCAAAGTACATGAGACTTTCATTGCCTCTAAGGAGTACACTGGATGCATTGCCTCCAAGACAAATGAGTCTGTTCTTTTGGAAGTTCATGATATATTTCATTCTCTCTCTCTCTCTCTCTCTCTCTCTCTCTCTC